TGCGCATGCATGGGTGGGACTGGATGGTCTTTAAGGTCCCTTCCAACCCAAACCAGTCTGGGATTCTATGACATGAGTCTATGATCCCAACCCCCAGCAGGTTCATGCTCTCATTCCTGTGCTTCAACTTCTGGAATGTCTTGAGGTTCATCAGCAGCTGAAACAGGACCTGATGTCCACCAGCAGAAGGTCCTCAACGTTGCCATCTCCCCTTTGCTGGCAGCACTTTGCTCACTGACACCAAGGGGGTCATCTCCCAGCCTCCCTGCCCAGGAGAAAGCTGCAGGAAGCGTGGGGAGGAGTCGAGTAGATCCTGTGGTCTTTGCTTCCCTGGTTTTGATCACTCCCAAACCATGGCGGGTCCCACACACAAGCTGAGCTGGGAGAACAACAACCCCCTCAAAAAAAACACTCTTCCACCACCCTCCTCACGGCTGAGGTGACACTGAAGAGCCTGGAAAGCCAAGTGGATCCAAATCCCAAGGGAAACAGCCTCAGGAGTGCTGGGGGTTTAGGGTGCTGGGGAGAACCAGCAGTCACAGTGCTGGCTCCAGGGTTTATTGGTGGGAAGAGGGTTGGAAGAGGGTTGGTGTCCCCTAGGAGAGGAGGGCGCTCCTCAAGAGCATCTTCTTCTCGGGTGTGAGCTTCTTGGGGAAGCAGATGTTGAAATGGATGAGGAGGTTCCCCTTGCTCCGAGAGTCCTGCAGCAGGGGCATCCCCTCCCCTGGCACCACTTTGCAGTACTTGGGGCTGCAGAGCAAAGGAAGGGGGTGAGAGGAACCACCAGGTGATCCCAACACAGCACCGAGTCGTCCCCACGATCCCCAGCAGGTTTCTAAGGACAAGTTTGTTCCTCCAATTTCAACTGGTGGTTGAAACCCAGGTTCCTCACCCTGCAGGCTTGGATCATCCATCCCTCATTTGAACACTGTCTTCTGATTCTCCCCCTCTGCTCCACCCTGCTAAGACCCCCCTGCAGGGCTGGGAACAGCTCTGGGGTCCCCAGCACAGGGAGGACACGGAGCTGTTGGAGAGAGGCCAGAGGAGGCCCCAGAGATGATGGGAGGGCTGGAGCAGCTCTGGAGCCAGGCTGGGAGAGTTGGGGTGTTCAGCCTGGAGAAGAGAAGGCTCCAGGGAGAGCTGAGAGCAGCTTCCAGTGCCTGAAGGGGCTCCAGGAAAGCTGGGGAGGGGCTTGGGACAAGGGCAGGGAGGGATGGGAGCAGGGGGAAGGGTTTCCAGCTGGCAGAGGGAGCTGGAGCTGAGATGGGAGGGAGAAATTCTGGGCTGTGAGGGTGGGGAGAGCCTGGCCCAGGTTGCCCAGGGAAGCTGTGGCTGCCCCAGCCCTGGCAGTGTTGAAGGGCAGGTTGGATGGGGCTTGGAGCAGCCTGGGCTGCTGGGAGGTGTCCCTGCCCATGGGGGGGGTGGGTCTGGATGAGCTTGAAGGTCCCTCCAACCCAAACCTTTCCATGACTCCATGACTGGTGCCTCCAGCAAGGGGGGGTGAACACCTCCTGTTTTTTCAAGCCAGACTCACCAGCTCACAGGGCTCAGCATCCCCCCCCCTGCTGCCCCCCGGGGCAG